TCACTCTGTGAGGCACTGTGCAGGAGTGTGGGTGTGTGTGTGTGTGTGTGTGTGTGTGTGTGTGTGTGTGTGTGTGTGTGTGTGTGTGTGTGTGTACATCAGATGAGCTTGTAGTTTAGTAAGCGAAAACCACTCGCTGCCTATTCAGCAACACTATATACACCCATACATCCTCATGACAGCCTGCTCTGTGTGTGCGTGTGCGCGTGTGCGTGTCTATGTGCGTGTGTGTGAGTGTGAGTGATAAGCAATGTGGATTAAATGTTTTTCGTTCTTCAGTAATGGCTCGTTTGGGCTCCACCAGAGATCACATGATAACGTTTCATTATGATGGCAGCAGTGATTCCCATGTGAACGCGGACCATCATGCATCACTTTAGTGCACTAGAGTACTTTGATGTCATGGCATCCATATGTATATGTCAAGGTGTTATTTCTACTGAAAATTGAAAAAATTGTTTATATTGGCCTATAATGTATATTTCAAAAAAATGGTTTGTATGATCTATAATATATTTAAAAATGGTTTATATTGTTCAATTATATATTGTAAAAATGCGTCACATTAATCAGTGCTGATGAAGGTGATGCTGAAATCTAGGGATCGACCGATATATGTTGTTTCAGGACCGATACGATACCAACTATTACAGATCAATTTGACCGATAACCGATATTTTGAATTTATATACATGTCTGGTGTAAAAATGAAAATGAATGTCAAAATTAAGAATAACAAGAGCTCTGACAAAAACTTTCTTTAAATGCTTTTAAATTATTTTATCAGCAAATCGGTTTTGAAAATGACCGATACCGATATCCATAAAAAGCTTAAAGAGCCGGTCATATGGTTTTTTAAAGTGTCCTAATATTGTGTTGGAGTCCCCTACAACAGGTTTAAATGCATCTAAGGTCAGAAAACACTGTAATTTTCCCTGAATATACATTTATACATGGAGTCATTTGTCCATGATTTCCAAACGGTTTGTTCGATTCAGTTCTGGCCGAAATGTCTGTAAACCCCTCCCTTCCATAAGCCTACTCTGCTCTGATTAGTCAGCTGGCCAAGCCTGTTGTGATTGGCACAAAGAGGAGCGCTTGAGCAAGTTAGCGAGAGCTAACATCTGTGTTGCCAAGTCTGCAGTTGTTTTTGATGTCGCGGGTTGTAGCGACCCCAATAACGTCATATTTAGGCACTGGAATGCGAATTTACCAGGGGAGCCCCAACTGAAAGTGTGTATTTTACACCCCAGAACACGATTTTTAAAGGGGGACCACCCTAGAAACACGATTGGGCTAGTTTTGAGTAGCAATTGGGCGGGTTTTGTTGTGACAACCTGGCAACCCTAGCATGCACCTTCGCATAAAACAATAATATAGTGCTCCAATCAGTTCTTAAAATAATGACCTATTTCAGTAAAACAGTAATATTGTGCTTTATCTGGAAATGTGTACATCACATATTAGCTCAAAAACTTGATATTTTGAGCACTCAGTTGAAAATGTACACATAACAGATCAATCGTACTTACAGGTTGTGGTTCGGATACGCTTGTTGGTCCAAATTAAGAAGATTAGAAGCCAACGAAGACAAAAGGCAAGATTAGAGAAGCAGTCCTCGGTAAAATGACGAGCACAACAAAAGGTTTGAATTGTATTGCTGTGGTATCGTGGAACACAGCATCTTCTCGACACGGAGAGTGTTCGTATTTCGTGGGCAGGCGGGATTATGCTAATTTGTTACCCGGTGACGTACATCGGTAACAGGCAGAAGATTTGAAAATATAACGACTCGTTAAGGCGATTCTGAGTCGACTCTTTCTTTTGAGAGACAATATCTTTATTTATCATGCACTTTTTTGATTAACAACTTTGCAGACTGTTTACATTGAAGGATAGCTACCTTACAAACTGCAAAAAGAGATATTTTTCGAAAACCCATATATTTCGTGGGCAGGCGGGATTATGCTAATTTGTTACCCGGTGACGTACATCGGTAACAGGCAGAAGATTCGAAAATATAACGACTCGTTTAGGCGATTCTGAGTCGACTCTTTCTTTTGAGAGACAATATCTTTATTTATCATGCACTTTTTTGATTAACAACTTTGCAGACTGTTTACATTGAAGGATAGCTACCTTACAAACTGCAAAAAGAGATATTTTTCGAAAACCCATGTGACCTGCTCTTTAATATCGGCGCCGATAATCGGTCGACAACTACAGAAATCACAGCCAGTTCTTCTGTGATTCCTGAGAACATCCGGTCTCATCGCTGCTGCTTCTGTTTCTTCAATAATTCATTCATGCTTTCATTGAATGAATATTTGATAACGGCAGCCGTTGTGAATAATGGACACACAGTAGTAGTCAGTAGTTTGATCATGGTCACTCTGTAGTGCACTAGATCCTCAAAACGGCACACTTTACAGCTTCATGGATGATAAATGAAGCTCCAGGAACACACAGACTCACTGCAGACGGGTCTGTGACGGAGGGAAGAAGGATGTTTAGTGCATTAATCTGTTTATTTACTGACACGGACAGTAAAAACATTCTGTAAAGTTGATGTTTGAGAGATGACTTGAGTGTGCAGTTAGAAGAGGCTCTTAGAATCACTTGTTTTGACTCATGCGAATGCTGTTTACAGTGATGCACTGATGCTTGTTAGAGTGCTTCTGTTGATTCCTTACAAGAAACCGACGTTCTTCTTCAGTATATCTGTCTCGGTTTCCAGTACAGATATCTAAACATTCATAAATCAAGATGCATTTACAGTGACAGATGATAAGAAGTGTCCAAGTGAAGTTTATGCTTCAAACAAGAAAAATTATTTGCCAGTGGAGTCAGAAAAATCTACTTGTTTTCCAAACTCTATTTGCAGAAATTTGCTCTTGTTTTAAACATAAACTCACTTTATTTTCACTTAAAGACTTCTTATCTTCTGTCATTGTGCATCTCCAGTAAATGCATCTTGATTTAAGAATGTTAAAGCAATAAGTTGTGGTTGCTACAAAGTGGTTGCCGAGCAACACACAAACGTAAACAAAGGTGTATGTTACTTTGTAGCGTCCTCTCTCGCTCTCACCTCTCGCTCTCTCCTCTCTCTCTCGCTCGCTCGCTCGCTCGCTCGCTCTCTCCTCTCTCTCTCTCGCTCTCTCCTCTCTCTCTCTCTCGCTCGCTCGCTCGCTCTCTCCTCTCTCTCTCTCACTCTCTCTCTCTCTCTCTCTCTCTGTCTCTGTCATTGTTTCTTGTTCAATCAGCTTCTCTTGTTTGTTGGTGTCAAATATAGCCATCCATTAATAGTAAGTGTGTGTGTTTGAGACACAGATTAAAGGAGCAGAACTCTAGAACACAGAAAAGACAGAGCAAACACACACACACACACACCGTTATGAGCCGCTGTGTGTGTGTGATGCTTTCAGCATTTTATCTTAATGTGATTAGTACAGGGTTATTATCATTAACTAACACTAAAACCATTAAAAAAAAGTTGTTAGTTGCCAAGGTAGTGATTCTCATTTTCATGAAGTAATAAAATAACTAAAACTAAATAAACTAAAATAAAAATTATTCAACAAATAAAAATGAATAAAAACGATATGTGTATATATATATATATATAAGTGAAGTGTGGCCAAGTATGGTGACCCATACTCAGAATTAGTGCTCTGCATTTACCCATCCAAAGTGCACACACACACCGTGAACACACTCCCGGAGCAGTGGGCAGCCAGTTGGGGGTTCGGTGTCTTGCTCAAGGGCACTCAGTCGTGGTATTAAAGGTGGGAGAGAGCTGTACATTCACTTCCCCCACCTACAATCCCTGCCGGTACGAGACCCGAACCCACAACCTTTGGGTTACGAGTCCGACTCTCTAACCATTAGGCCACCACGTCCCAAGGTCAAAAAAATAAAATCTAATTGAAGACTCAGACAGTGTCAGTTCTGCACTGCATGATTGATGTGAATATTAATCTGAAGGGACGTGAATGAATGTCTTTGTCTCTGTGTGTCTCCTCACAGTGCGTTATCTACTGAAGAACAACGTGAGTCCTGATCTGTGTAACGAAGACGGACTGACGGCCCTACACCAGGTGAACACTATGTGTGTGTGTGAGAGAGTCTCTGTGTGTGTGTGTGTGCGTGCGTGTGTGTGTGTCTGTCTGTGTGTGTTTGAGAATGTGTCTGTGCGTGTGTGTGTGTGTGTGTGTGTGTGTGTGTGTGTGAGTGAGAGTGTGCATAAAAATACAGTAAAAACACTACAAATTTGAAAAAGTTCAAATCTAAAACAGTTGTTTTCTATGTGAATCTCTGTTAAACTGTAATGTATTTCTGTGATGCGCAGCTGTATTTTCAGTTTGTTACATTATACATGTCTTTACTGTCACTTTTGATCAATTTGATGCGGCCTTGATGAATAAACTATTAATTTCTTTCAAAAGAACCCAAACTTTTGAATGGTGGTGTATATATTTTTAACGCAGGTAGTGTTCTCTCGGCATGATCTGGTCTGATCTCTGATGATCTGGTGTCTCCGCAGCGGCGCTGATCTCTTAGCAGTGAACTCAGACGGTAACATGCCCTATGACCTCTGTGAGGACGACCCCACGCTCGACATCATCGAGACCGCCATGGCCAACCGAGGTGAACCTCCGATCCTCCAATCACTGCCTGTGCTGATATCAGCAGCTTTATTACATGCGTTTGTTTCATCAGTGTTTTAAAGTCCAGATTCTAACGTTCAAGTAGCAGATCTCATCACTGAATGATGGAAAGATTGGATTTTTCCATTCTGATTCTTACTGTGATTATGACGTAAACATTGAACAGAATAGAAACAATCACCCAACATTCAATCTGAGTAACTGAACAAATGAGGTTTACTGAAAGATGAAGGTTTACTCATCTTGACGTTATTTGAATCTCGTTTCACTGTGAGTTTTCCAGCGTTGGGAAAGTTACTTTTAAAAGCAATGCATTACAGTATTGTGTTACTCCATAAAAAAGTAACTAAGTAAAGCAACTGTAAAGGCTCTTTCACACTAAAAAAGTGAAATGAATAAGCCTCAGGCTGAAGGAAGAGCCTCACTCCCAATTTCTCTCAACAGGAGAGCTGTCAGCAAATAAATGGGAAAACAAAGTATCTTGAGTTACTTGTATGAAAAACTAACTCTGCTATTTTCCTGTAAATTTAAAAGTAATGCATTAATTTACTAGTTACTTGAAAAAGTAATCTGATTACATAACTTGCGTTACTTGTAATGCATTACAAGTAACACTGGATGTTTCAGCTACATTGCAATCATTTATTTCCTGTTTGATTGACAGCTGTATTGACCAATCATTGTGTGCATGACAGGCATCACACAGGAGATGATCAATGAGACGAGAGCAGCGGTGGAGAGGAGGATGCTGGGAGATATTCAGAACCTCCTGCAGGATGGAGCCGACGTCAACCGACACGACTCCCAGGGGGCCACGCTGGTACACACACACACACACACACA